ATATTTAAAAATTCACAACGGAGTATTTAAAAATATAACAGCGAAATATTTAAAAATCGACAGCGAAATATTTAAAGTGTAACAGAGAAATATTTAAAAGTATGACAACGAAATATTTAAAAATATAACAGCGAAATATTTAAAAATGTGACAGCGGAATGTTTAATTATAACCAAAACTACAGCCCTTATGCTTAGAAATGTGCTACTGTCCGGTTGCTTCCATTTTGTGTTGATGTCTTGAATTAATTTCTTCATCCATAAATTCCAAAAGGAGCAACATTTTAGCATTTCTAAGATAACATTAATATTATTATCGCTAATTTTAAATTTTTTTCAAAATAAAGCCCGAAGTTTATGATTATTAGTGGATTATTTTTAATTCCCATAAATTAAGTAAATTTATTTCGCATTACTTAAGTTGTTTGGCAATATAATAATCTACATATTTATGTGACACCAAAAACAGTCTACATTATCAATCTACATTAATCTACATTACTTATGTGACACCAAAAACACGGGTATTTCTCTATCTAAATTAGTAACACTATAGTCATCGATATTAATTGATTTTGTTAGTTTGTCTTAAGTAATAATATAAGTTGTGTAAATTAATTAGTTCTGCGTACCTAAAGTATCTGCTTAGAGTAATTTTGCTAAGTTGTCTTAAGAAATAAATTAAGCAATATTAAATAGTTAGTTACATGTTCAATATTTGTTTAGAATCAATTATTTATTTATTTAGAATAATTTTGTATTGTTATAGAAATACAAGCATTAATACGAAGTATTTTTTTTTTCGATTTATTTTTTATCCTTTTTAAAATGAAGAAATTTTAAACAGTGCTATGGTGCCGCATACCATCATAGCAATTATTAGTGACGATGCATAACTTTTTCGAATAGTATATTCTCCAACTATTCTGGAAAAAAATCAAATCAGAAATATTACAATATTCTTCTGACGTCATAGCAGATCAGATTAGTGTAAATTAGAGCCCCTGAATTAGAGAGGCCGACTTATCATCCATTTTGGAGCAAAAGCTTCTCCACAAATAATGGAGAGCTACAAGATTCGGCAACTTATCGCTACAAACGACGTTAGCCTCAACTATAGGATAACTAATAAAGAAAAGCGTGCATCGATTATTAGCATTGTTTTTCGAAAACCTTTTCTTATTCTTACACAAATTCACTGCAAATTTTATTAACGGTTAAAAGTTTTAAATAAAAGAACTGTATATGTACTACATGCCAATTACATCAATGTGTTTGATAAATGATTTCAGAATAAATTTGGCACTAAATTATATATTTTTGTTAGATCTGGGTTTTTCCAATTTCTTTTCAGACATTTTTAAAACTGAAGTAATGTCTCAAACAAATATTAATAAAATAAACAGTAACTTATTGCTTCAACAATTTAACTCAAGAATTTCAGAGAAAAAAAGTATTGATAGATCCAAAAATATATGAAAGATCGCATATTAAATAGGTTTCTTATGATAAATGTAAACAAAGCGTTTAATCTTTAGGCAATATATTACCACAAATAACTAAAAAACAAACATAAATGAGCCAGGATTAAGAAAGTAACTACTTGATTTTAGTGAAATAAAAAGGAATAAAATAAACAACAGGTAAATATTTGCTTTTAACAGAAATAAATACTTAAAATTTAATTCAAAACTTGGCGATTCTGAAATAAGTTTGGCGAATCCTTATTCAGCCAATCTCTTGCCTTTATTTATAGGTTTTATCGCTCATAAGCGCTTAAAATTGTTAAATAAATCAATAAATGTTGTTCAAAAGTCATATTTTAAATAAATATATACTTAATAAATGCATTTTTCAATGATTTCAATTTTCTTGTGTAATAACAAGTAACCCTGAAAGTTATTCACTTATTTTTTTAAAGAAAATAGACGAAAACAAACTTTCAAAAACAAATTCTAATAACTTAATATTGTTTATATACTACATATATAAGTAGATAACACAAATAAGTTATAAATAAATTAGTTTTTATCACACATAAGCGAGCTCCACTTCCAGGCTGCCAGTTGTATCTTCTGCAATTTATTATCCATTTCTTCTTTCTTTTCAAATTTGAAGGAAATCTGATCATTTGAAAGTCTTTTTTTTTCTTTAACTTTTTGTACAATTTACAGCCCCCCAACCAGCCACATCAATAATTTTAGGTATCCAATTAGCCTTCAAACTCACGATAATACTTACATATTAACTTGCGGACTTGTCTGCTCCAGCATGGATGATAGTTCAGCTCTCATAGTATAGGAGCCTCAGTGTAAATCAAAGCATTCGTGTCAATCCAAGGCAAGTTATAAATGCCTCTTATTGTGCTGCCATCTACTGATAATCGAGAGAACCATCATTAGAAATAAGATTAGTGTACAATACGATACTCAAGTTATGACTCGAGAGGTGCGTGAGGAAGCAGTACAGCACATTAAGATGAGTTTCTTGTCTTATCTCACGACAGAGATACAAATAATTTTAATATTTCTGATAGCTACTATACTGAAGTGTCCTGAACTCATATTTATGGTGATTTGTGTGATTTAATGGTTGCAGATTTTTAATAAAATTCAATCCATAGAGTACTTTGAAAATATCACAGACATCTCTTAAAAAGAGTTAAAATTGAAATCAAAGTTCTCCCACTCGGGCAAAAGCTAGTAGTCATTGAAACTCTCTAAAAACACTGTAAAAACCTTGAAAAAACTCAAACGAAATAAATTCCGATTAATTGCAATTAACTTTCTACTATTTACAATCTAGCCATAACATTGAAAGGCGACCAAATATTTTTATGCATTTTAATGACTGCAAGATATGCCATGAAAAGAAAAAATAATTTAATATATTTTTTTTTATATAAATTCTTGGACATCATGCTATTTCTGAGGAAAAAATCTTTTCTGGAGAAAAATCTTTTTTTGAATTTATTTTACTTACCCAAACAAAGTTTCTAATTTGACTTTTATGAAATAAAAGAAACATAAGTAAGGCACTAGAGATACCAGAGATAATAACTAAACTACAATAGAGAAATAATAAATAATTACTGATAATTCACTTTACGTAAATAAATAACTTACAGGTAAATACCGACGAAATGATCATTACTTTGATATTGATGACAACCACCAAAGATATCTTGATTTAATTTGTTTTTTGAACATTATATCACGTGTTTTTTTTTGTTTTTTTTTCTGTCCATTAAAAATGCACAAATTATAAGACAATGATTTTTTCTAACACTTATCTTTTCCTGATATATAGAGATATAAAAATTTTTATCGTCACCGAACAACGCCTTGATGTTACAAAAATCAAAAAAAAAATTGACTCATCCTTCTAAAAGCACTGAACTAAACTAAAACAAAACTGGATAAAAATTTTAGATGCGTGGCAAACGAAAGAAAAAAAATAAAATAAAGACCTCGTAGGAAATAAACTTGATTGTACAACGACATATTTGTGTTATTGGTTTATCCTGTTTATACGACATACAAGTTTTGGTTTATTCTGACCCAATGAAAATAAACTTAACCAAAGCCAACTTTTATTGATTGTTGTTGCGTCGAAATAGATTGCCAACCACCATATTTCTAAATCACTGCGAATAAAAAGTTGTAGAAATCAAACTTTACTTCTATACAGTGATAAAAAGTCCATTCCGTTTGTTCGCTTTCAGAAGCAAGATTGAATGACTTTTTTTTCGAAATGTATTGCGTAAAATAACGAGTGCAACATCGGGAGTTCCAACTCTGCACTCATAAATCAAAAATACTTTTCCGTTAAAAATAAATCTAACGAAAACATTTGATTGAATATTTTATCAAATCCATAACTTTACGAACACCCAAATAAATATTTTATTTATTAATCAGTGAATAATAATGTGTAATTAACAGTAACAAAAAAAAATTCACGTGTTTCTTTTATTTCTCAAAATCCGAAGAGTTGGCCGTTCATTTATAGAGTCCCTTCGTAGAGAAAAAAGACCAGTACTCGAAATTATAACAAAATTCAGCAAAACAAGTAGAGAGACCAGATTACTAAAGCTTCTTAACTTGTTCTAGTTTCGAACCCAGATGGCACCAAAAAGCATTTCTCTCGAATTCTCTCTTTAATGGTGAACATGCAAGTTTCTCACTCTTCTACAGATGGCAGCACAAAACTATTTCGCCACGTTTCGAAGTTTGCCTTAATTAGACACACAAATATACCAGATAGAATTTATGGGCAGATGTGTACTTTTATAGTCATTATAACTTTACGGGAATAAACTTATTTTTACGATCAGTGATTGGAAAACTTTTTGCCTCTCACTGATCGTAGCCTAGCGGTGACATTTATAGAATGTTCACTGTAGGAAAATATTGAATATTGTATGGTTCACTACCTTTGTTTGTACGTTTTGTATCTATGTTTTGCATCATACCATTGTTTTAGGACTGATTCATTTTACATCAAACCATTATTTTCCAACTTTTTCTGTACTAAATTGTATTTCTCATTTTGCAGCCGATGTCTTTTCTATTAACTTTTCAACGGATTTTTAATCAAAAGAATTGCCTTAGATAACAGAATTGACAGGTGATTGTGAAATAAAACCTACAAACACCTTTAAATTATGTTTAATGCTTTTCCTGCCGCTTTTCCTACTATTGATTCTACGATTTTCGATAGCGTTTTTGCATTCTAATCGCTTAAATATTAGTTTGAAATTAATAATATTCATCCTTTTTAACTTCTTTTTTAACAAAGATTTCAAAATGCGTATATACTAAGGTTTGTGGTTCTGGAATACCCTTTGTTTATACGAACTATACTTGTTCCCAATCGTACATGAATTACGTAGTTTATTACATGATTCATCTTCCTAATAAATCTTTGAATTAAAATTAACATTGCGTCTACCTTCTAATTAAAACAATAAAAAGCATGAGCATTGTCTGTAATAATAGTAACTATCCATCAATGCTTTCTGCAACAATATAACTTTGCAACAATAATATCAACTGAGGTGAATGAATATTGCGAACACCATTTAAAATAAGTCCTATATATTTAAATTATTATTTGAGTAAATTACATATTAAGGTAAATTTGTCTATATTTTGTTTCAAAAATGGGCTTATTTGGTAAAACTAAAAAAGACCCGAAAAAACAAGTTAAACATTGGCTATCAACATTAAAGAAAGAAAGTAATCATTTGGAACGTCAAATAAAAAGCATTCAAAGAGCGGAAGGAAAAACACGCTTACAGCTGAAAGACGCTGCCAAGAAAGGTGATGCAGATGTTTGCAAAATTATAGCCAAGGAAGTACTTCGTGGTAGAAAGACTATAAAACGTATCGATTCCACCAAAATTCAAATCAGTTCTTTCATAGCAACTCTAAGCCATCAGTTAGCCATTTTAAGAGTCGTTGGCTCTCTTGAAAAAAGCACGGAGGTCATGGAAAATGTACAAAATCTTCTAAAAATTCCAGAAATTTTTCAAACAATGGTTGAGATGTCTAAAGAAATGATGGAAGCGGGGATTCTGGAGGAAATGGTAGAAGAGTCGTTCGAAATGTTAGATTATCAAGAGGACATTGATGAAGAAGCGCAAGAAGAAGTTAATAAAATCTTGTGGGAACTAACGGCAGGACAAATTGGTGCAGCACCTGAAACTGCGTCGGATTTGTCAGGGATAGAACACCAAAACAAAGTTGCACCTTCTACATCCAGACAAAGTGATTTGACTGCTATGCAAGAGAAACTTCATGAACTTAGAAGTTAATTATGTACTTTTGTTAAATCGACTAAGCCCATTGCACTGATTTATATTTAGCCTAGCATTGGAGATGTAAATGTTTCAAACTGAATTTGTTTTAAGTGTCTTTATTTATTTAATATTTAAGCAAACACGCAAATATTTTCAAATGTAAGAAATTGCACCGCTGCGGTTCAGGATATAGGCGTTCGCCTCCCATTCTGGTTTCCCAGGTTCGAATCCTAGTGGTGACTGATTGATAAGAATTTCACTACCAGATCGCACTTAGCACAGTGCTGGAGTAAAATATCATCGGTGGTAAACGAATCATGGGTTAGAATTAGCTAGCCGTCGGGCTAACCGTTGTAAGTTTTCGTCGTTTTGCTCTCCATGTAGCGCAAATGCGAGTTAATTCCATGAAAAAGTTCTTCATGAAGGCTAGTTTTCCCCCCAACGTTTGATCCAGGAGTTTCCTTGTCTTCTGGGTGGGGTTAAAATTACTGGGCTAAGGAGTTGATCATTGATAGTCGTAAACTTAGAATTGGGTCCGCTTTTCAACGCCGTTTGTAACGTAAAATAAAGTTTTAAAAAATTCAGGAAACTTTAGCGGTAAAAATTACTATAACAGTTAGTCTCCACAAATCCACAACTACTACACTAAATTAAATGAGATAATATTCTAGATTAATTCTAACCCCGAGGGTCCCCTGGATCGGAACCTCTGCTGGTTCCGATCCAGGGGCTCCATTATCTTCTGGATTGGGATCAAAATTACAAGGATACGGAGTTGAACATTGGTAGTCGTAAATCCAGAATTGGGTCGGTTGTTCAACGACGGTTATAAAATAAAATATAAAAAATAAAGGAACACGAAGCCGTGATAGCTCAAGGAATAAAGCGCTCGCCTTCCAATGAGGTGAACCGGGTTCATATCCCAACAGTGGTCGATTCGAATTCCGCATCCGGCTGGCACCGACCACAGTGCTGACATAAAATATCCTTAGTGATTGACGGATCGTGGTGACTATATTGTTGCTACGGAGTTGAACATTAGTAGTCTCAATCCAAAAAATTGGGTCGGCTGTTCAACGACGGTTATAAAGCAAAACAAAGGATAATGGTAGTTTTTTTTCTCACCCACTATGGCGCCATGACCAGTTTTCCAAACAAATATTTAATCTTATTTTAATAATTTTCACAGTTTGTGACAGCTCAGTATAATGGTTTGCGAATTAGCTTATTAAACAGATTCTCCTGTTCAAATCTAGGTGATGGTTAAGAGGTACTTCACTTACAATTTTACCATTAACTATAAATAATGAAAAAAAAATTAACGCACCTTGAGTTATAGTATTTTAACCATAAATTTTCAGAAAATTTTTTCATTGTATAAGATACGGTAAAAAACTATTTAACTTCTGCAAAGTTTTTCTTTAATCTATCCAAAATATTAAGTGTTTATTTTAAAATGATTACAAAACTAATTTTTATGTACAATTTAAAATGAAGCTAACCATGAATAAGAAACCAAACAACCTAAAAACCTGTAAACTTCAATTACTTAATCTGCGAAATGCTGTCAACGGAACACTGAAATATTAATACATATAAGACACCAAAAAAATGAAGTTAGGATTTTTTTTAAACTTTTGAAAGTGACTGTTATTTACTTAAATGACTAATCATTGTTCACAATAAACTCACCATATATTCGTATATTTTACCGTCTCATTAAAGTTAACAGATGAAGAATAAAGAGTATGTTTTTATAGATTCAAAATCCAAAATATGCACATAAATACAGATGTATTTATTTATTTTTAAAAAAACGTCATGTATTGAGTTATTTTACTTAAAATAAAACGTACTTCTTCTCTAAACCAAAAGTATTGTCCACGAAATATTTATTACCGAACGATAAAACATTTACAGCAACCTCGTAAAAAATAATGACTTTTACTGTGGGTGCTTTGAATTTCTAGCTCAGAAGCTTAAATGCCCCCATGCATTTTTTGTTTAACAACATTTGTCTTGCTTAATGTTATTGGCTATTTAACTTGTTTTTGTTGATTTTGAATACTTCAAACATTGCTATCAAGTTATATTTAATTTAATATTACGCAGTTTGTAATTTAAAAACTCTACATTATTAAAGCAAGCATTGATTTAACTTCTAAAATTCGAAAAATAACTGCCATAAGCAGTTGCTATATCAGTCATATAGTATACTTAATATTTCACATTTGACTCTGAACATATTTGTTAAAAAAATTTAAAAAAAATAATACAAAAACAATATACTTAAAAACTATTTCAAAATCAAATTGTTTATTTTCACGAATTCATCGAGGGTTCCGCCTCTTTCTAAACTAAACTGTCAATAATATTTATAGGTCGATATCAGTTCAACAAAAATTAGCTAAAGATGGAAATAATAATGGAAAAGCTTTCTATTCCTTTAAAAAGTAAAGGTTTGAGTCGAATATGGGAACCTAAAGTTTGATCCTTTATTTGAGATGAACTTTAAACGTGATATTTAATTTACTGAAGGAAAGATAGGGAAAGAAATTACCTAGATTAATTTTTACCTTCTAATTACCTTCTAATTAATTTTTTTTTTCAATTTTAGGCTGACTCAAATAAAATCAAAACTAAACTATAATTAAGAAATTATAAACGATACAAATTTTTAAGTAATAACTTTTAGCATAGCTTTTATTTTTCATTATAATTTGAAATAACTCGCTGTTATGAAAGAAGAGAAACTTAGATATCTCTATCTAAACAAATGAGGTATTGTTTCTAAAGTACTTTGTTTTCGGGTATTAAATTAAACGAATCCCAAGTCGATGAAACTAATAGTTTACGAATAGAAATTGCAGTTTTGTTTTTATTTGCGCTCTTTCTATTTAAGCGTCGGACATTACCACCTATCTAAGTGTGACATTTGTGTTTTTCTGCGTGAGGCCAAACCGAAACAAAATCAAGTAGACAGAACTTTGACAAAAGTTAATGTATCTGTAAACATCTGGTGAAGTGACTTGTGGAGAATTCTGGGTACGAGATTATCTGTTGTTTCGATTCTGTAATGTTTGGATTAAGTAGTAAATATCGCTTTCTTGTGTACGTCTTATATCATAAACAAGTTTAAATGTCCTTCAAGCATCTTTACAAGATCGAAACGTTTATTAGGGCATAATGTATCAAACAACTGAGCCGGAAAAGCTTTCTTATCACCCGAAATGCTAGCAGAAATGCATTGATTGCTTCGAAAGTTTTCAATCAGCTTTCGGAATGAAATCAGTAGACGGTTGTACACAAGAGCGTTTAGAAAACAAAATTATTACAAAAATATTAGAAAGATCAGTTGAATTTATATGCAATAGAGATGGGAAGAATCTGGAGTTGGCTGGAATAATTCTTGGTAAACTCAAGAATAAGAATTTTAGTTACAAAAGTAAAGTGCATAAAACCAATAACTGGCAAAATCCTTTGCTAAGTGGCAGAGCTAGTGAAAATTTCACTTAGAGAATTTTTTAATTAAAATCATAATTAGATCTCGTGAAAAAATTTCCACAATTATTCAAAAGCATTGGGAAAGTTGGAAGGTCATATTAAGTTAAAGGATGATGGAAAGCAATATGCTGTTTCGGTACAACCACGAATTCCAGGAAGAAAAACAATATTGGATGAGGTGGCAAGAAATTATAAAACCAGTTGATGAGGCCACAGTGTAGTGCACAATTATGGCAATAGTTCCTAAGAAATCAGGTGATATAAGAAATTGTATTGATTTATTAATTTTGAATAAAGATATTGAAAGAGAATATTTCTCAATGGCCTCATTTCGCAATATTTTAAATCTGTTTAATAATGCTAAAGTTTTTATCATTCTTGATACAAATGCAGGTTTTTGATAAATTATATTAACCTGCAAAATGGTAAATTACCTGCAAAATTAACTGCTGTTATTAGACCATTTGGAAGATTTAAGCATAGACGTTTGCCATTCGAAATTAAATCAGCTCCCGTGGTATTTCAAAAACGAATCCGTGAAACTATTCAAGAAGGTTCTAATATAGTAGGTCTCATGGATGAATTTGTTATCCTTGGTGCAACGGAAGAAGAGCATAATCAACGACTGTGAGAGATTTTATAAAAACTTCAAGCTGATGGGTGGACAAATGCCAGTTCGCAAAAAAAAAACATACCATTTCCTAGAAATATGATTTCTGAAAGGGGTATTAGACTTGATCCTGAGAAAACAGGAGCTATAGAAGCTATATCTAGAACTCCATTACCCAGGAATATGACTGAATAAAAAAGATTTTTAGAAAGGCTTTGATTTTTAAATAAATTTTTACCAAATTTTGCAAATGTTACAGAACCTATTTACGAGTTATTGAAAAACATCGTTTGAATGGGTTTTTTGGAAAAATCTCAATCATCTAAGAAGAAATTAAACAGAAACTCTGCTAAATTCCTGAATTCGCCTTGCTTATTTCAAAGAATAAACTTTTATTTAAGCAGAAGCATCGTTTTTATCTATTGGTTTAGCTCGTTGTAAAAAAACAGCAACCACCATTTACATCTAGTTTTCTTTGTATCAAGGATATTTTTCGGTACATAGAAGAGATACGCACACATTGAAAAAGAAGCATTGGCTATCCTATGTGGTTGCGAAAAATTCCATGATTTCTTTGTTGGAATAGAAGTTCACGTTGAAACAGGTCATAAACCTCTTGGGTATATTCTGATGTATGCATTAGATAATTTAACTCCATCCAACGCATGAAGTTAGAAATGATATGGTGTTCTTATACCATCAGATGCACTCTAGGAAAAATTCTTATTGCAGATGCACTGTCTCGAAGACCATTGCCGAAAAGTTGAAGGAAGATCTATATGAAAAAATAAATGGATATGTGCAAATTTTAGTTGAAAATTTTCGGTCATTAAAGGCAAATTGGTATAAATGTGATCTCGACAAAACGACGACCAAATGCAAATTACTGATTAATTTATTC